ATTTATTATTGAGAGACAGAGAGAGATAGAGCATGAGTGGGGGTGGGGGGCAGAGAGAGAGGGAGACACAGAATCCGAAGCAGGCTCCAGGCTCTGAGCTGTCAGCACAGAGCCCTACGCGGGGCTCAAACTCACAAACCGTGAGATCATGTCCTGAGCTGAAGTCGGACACTTAACTGACGGAGCCACCCAGGCGCCCCTGTTTTTAATTTTTTGAGGAACCTCCATACCGTTCTCCAGAGTAGCTGTGCCAGTTTGCATTCCCACCAGCAGTGCAAAAGTGTTCCTCTTTCTCCACGTTCTCACCAACATCTGTTGTTTTCTGAGTTTTTAATTTTAAGGTTTGATTTTAATATTCATAAATGAAGGTTCAGAACATAAAAGTGGTGTTTTTCTTTGCTCTTTTAATTAAAAAGTAAAACAAAGTTGTTGTTGTAGTTTTTTAACATTTTTATATTTAGAGGATAAAGGCTTACTTTATTGTCATCCAGAATGGGGAATATTGAACCTGGAGATGCTTGGAAGTCTGGGAGGGAATGTGATTGCTGCCTTCAAATTACTGAAAAACTTGGCTTGGAAGGCTCAGACTCACCCTGTAGGACAGGAGGGCAGAGTTAGGACCCACGGGCAGGCGGAGGCAGATACCAGCCTGAGACAAGGAGAACTTCCCCACAGCTAAAGAGATTGAGTGGCGGAATAAGCCCACCTGCCAAGGTAGTAGGTTCTCTGTCACTTGAGAGGGTGCCAACAGAGGTGGTGACAGTTCATCTCGAACGTGATAGGCACTCATCTGGATGCTTGCAGCTATTAAAATGTATGAGTGGAGGTTCTGTTCTGGGAGGAGGGAAGAAGTGAGTAAAGTAAAAGAAGCTAAGTACTAAATATAAATATATATGTTATTTCTGAAGAAATTGCAATGGAAGAGAACAAGTGTCATTTTTGTGGGGAACCCGCTATCAGTGTGTCATGATGGCATAAGGCATATTTATGTAGAATGTATATGCTCTGATAAGACGAATTAATATTTAACCTCTTGTTCTAACTAGGGTCATTGGTTTCCTGGAAGCTATCGTGTGCATAAAATTTGGACAAGATCTGTTCTCTAAGACCCAAATACTATATGTTGTGCTTTGGCTTCTTTGTGTGGTAAGTTTATTATTTTTTTAAAAAGATCACTTTTTTACCCAAAAGTGTTAGTGAAACTCCTCATGGTGTCTCTTTAAAAAAACCAACAACAACAGCAAAAATTCTTGTGCACCTAGTTTTTTTAGAAATTCATAGACCGGACCTTCTGCTTGTAATCACCCAAAATTGGCCACTAGTCTGAAGGTCAAGATTAAATACATGGGACCACCCAGCATCCAAAGCGGGTCACCTTGGTAAGTTCTGGTCAAATGCCCTCAGCAGGTACACCATACATGCATAAATTTCACTTGTGAGAATTCACCTACATGCAGGCCTCCATGAAGGAGCAAGGGTGTTACAGTGTTACATATTGCTGTACAAGTGTTTATGGACAAAATGATGGACTGTGGTTTATAGGTCTTGAGAGATGTTCTTGAAGGTAATCAGACCATGCAGTTTCTGCCCCACAGGCTGACTTAAGGGGCCAAACCCTATGAGCTGACCTTCCTGTCTGAAGGGAAGAGCCCTTGGGGGCCTCTAGCTCCACTGTCCTGGGACTTTTCCGTCATCTATCT